ATAATTTAAAATTATGTGCATACTACATAGTAATAGATCTCTACAAGATCTTTTATATAGTCACAATTGAAATTAGAAAAAATATACATTTAAATATAAATCAAATATTTATTAATATTATTATGGCTATATTCTATACTATATTTATTTAAAAACTTAACTTGCCTCAACTGATATGTAAACTTTTTCATAATCAAATATACAGCTTGTCACAATTTCTTGATGTTGAAGTATTTCTTTAACTGCTGAAATAATAGGTCTATATTCGAATAAATATGTTTTATCCTTTATCTGTGCAACAGGTATTAAAAAAAACTTAGTATAGTCTTTTCTTAATATATCCAAGAAAAGAAGACTATCTTTTGTTGATCGAGGAAGACTTTTTTTAAAACTTGACTATGTCTTTTTATGAATGTTAATATTGCATCACCAGCCATATATAAAAGCTTATATCTGATTACCTAATATTAAAATAAGTATTATTAAAAATAAATAGTATTTAAATACCAAAATTTTTAATAAAATTAAAAATATAACAATTACTATATTAATAAAATCCTGATATGCATTGCTGGAAAAGTCTGAACTATCTTCAATATCGCTATATTCACTATTATTATTCTGAGATTCATTAATTTCATCAATGAACTCATTATTTTCATTTTCTAATATATTTCTCTTAAATATTTCGCTAGACTCATAAATAAAACTTTGATTAAAAATTTCTTCGTCATTGAATATTGAATTAACTTCATTAATAATTTCCTGGTTGTTGAATATTAAATTTGTTCTAGAAGTACTTTGAATATCAAGCATCAAAGTAGATTTATCATTGTCAATTTCTTGATTATCAGGTATTAAATTTAATTTATCAGATATGCTTTGAATATCAAGCATCGAAGTAGGTTTATCATTGTTAATTTCTTCATTGTCAAGTATTAGATTCAATTCATCAGATATGCTTTGAATATCAAGCATTGAAGTAGATTCATTATTGTCAATTTCTTCATTGTCAAGTATTAGATTTGATTCATCAGATATGCTTTAAATATTAAGTATTGAACTAGATTCATCATTGTCAATTTCTTCATTGTTAAGTATTAGATTTGATTCATCAGATATGCTTTGAATATCAACTGCTAGGTTAGATTCATGATCAACTTCTTGATTATCAGATATCAGGTCACTATTGTCAGAACTGTAAGTGTCAGTACTAGTGTCGGTACTAGTACCAGATTCATTTTCAATATAATAGTTGTTTTTGTGAACCTTTTTATAATTTTTAAGACTCGTTAAACGGCCAAATCTTTTATTACAAACACCACAAGTAAACATGAAAATATCTAAAAAAAATTAAGATTATTAATATTGTTTTTTTTTTAATTTTTTAACTTTTTTTTATTTTAAAATCATACTTACTGCAATACAAATAAAAACAACTATTAGGCAAGTTTTTTTATTTTTTAATATAGTTCTTGTTTTATTACAAAGTAAATACTAATTTCTTTGTTTTTTTGCTTTATAATACACTTTAACTTTTAATTACATAATCAATAATCAATTATATACATATATCATAGATTTTAATTTCCGAAGGCATAATCAAATATTTTTGGTTAGTAATTAGTAAGAAACAATAGTGGTAATTAAATCACAATAATTGATCGAGTATTCTAGTAGGTTGCACAAATTAGTCTCATAAATATTTTAAGTAATTATTGCTGTATTCTTTACTACTCTTTATAGCATTTTTTTAATTTTGTATTACATTCTTTTAAAGCCACCATAATCAACGAAGCATAACTTATATCTGGTCTACTCAAATAACCAAGTCATCCAAATATATATTTTTATGTACGTAACAATTATCTTAAATAGGTAACACAATTAAATAATTTTTTCTGATTACTAATTTGTGCATTATATTTATATATTGTGTAATTTGTATACTACAAAGTAATCCTTACATAATATTTAAAGAAATTCTTAATATTTAAAGTGCTGATTATTATAATTTCTTAAAATATTAAAAAATAGTT